AAAGAGGGATTTGGTTATTTTGACTCTTAATGTGTATCTTGGGTCTTAAAATAATGGTGTTGTTGTTGTTGAGGATATATAGGACCTTTGGGTCATTGTAGAGAAAAAGAGAGAGAAAGCCCTAATTTTTGCAATGAATTAATTTATATAATTAATTTAGGAATGTTATGGAATTATGAAATTGAGTTGAGAATAATGAAATTGGCTCATTATGAGGTAGAATGGTGGAGTTGGATTCATTAATCACTCACCTTTGAAATTGTTGATAATTTACCTGTTGGTGCATTTATTATCTGTTTAAAAATAACTATTTTGGGCTATCGGTGGAGGATAGTCTTGATTGTTGTAGACACTGCATGATGATTAGGTGAATTAAAACTAATCAAGTTGAGTATTTGAATATATGGGTGCCGAATCCCGCGGATGAAATTTCCGTAAAATGACCATTCGAAAATAATTACATATGAGTGCCGAATCCCGCGAATGCAATTTCCGTAAAATGGCAATTCAAAAATATCTATACGTGGGTGCCGGATCCCGCGGATGAAATTTCCGTAAAATGGCAATCCGAAAACATCTATACATGGGTGCCGAGTCCCGCAGATGAAATTTCCGTGAAATGGCCATGAGAAAATAATTACATATAGGTGTCGAATCCCGCAGACGCAATTTCCGTGAAATGACAGTTTGAAGTATTGTTGGCTTGAGATGTAGTCTCGCTTAAGTTGTTTAGCCAGGTTCTGAGCCGTGTTTATAAGTCGAGTCTTGTTAAGTGAAGGATTATGGAACTGGATTGTACTGTATGTTGGTTTATATGAGTTAAACATTTATCAAGTGCTAATATTTTAGTTATTGCTCATATTATGTTTAGCATATCTCTACTGGGCGTTGGCTCACCCTATATGGGACATCATTTTCAGGTACAGGTGTTATGCCACCTCCAAGGACGTAGCTTGGAAGGCTTGGGGCTGTCAGACTCTTTTTTTTGTTGTTTTGTTGTATTACATGTATATCAAGCCAAGGGCTTATTTTGTGTAGAGTTAGTACTCTCTTTTTGTAACCAAGTGTTGACTTGGAAAGTTGTAAGCCTATAGGGCATTTACTTTTGTTGTCAACATGTAATACCTTTTGTAAGAATACGCTGCTGATTGTAATATGAAATCTCTTCTATCTATCGTGAATGTATGTTATAATGGATTTATTTTTTAGAGCGTTACAGTTCTCATGTTCACAAACACCAACGAATTCATCAATGGCTCTAGAACTCGTCAATGTCGACATACCCCTCTCCATTCATGTCGATTTTATTGATCTCTCTCAGATCTAACACTATCTCTTTCCAATCCAAGGGCCACAAAGACAGTTCTCATGTTCACCAACACCAGCGAATTCATCAATGGCTCTGGCAATTCTTATGTTCACCAACACCACTAATTCATCAATGGCTCTGGCAATATAATAGCAGGGGCAAAATCGAGATAAAAAATATAATAGGTCTTTTTGGTACATAAGATAGAAACTTAGGACCCAATGAGTAATAGATTCTATTATTGGGACAGGCTGGTAAAAAAGGGCCATTTCCATAAATAAGCTAAAATAGTACAGAAATTCCCAAACTAAGCCTAGTTTTGAAAGAATTCCTAGAATAAGCTAACTCGCGGTTTACAATCGCGAGTTCAACAAATATTTTCCCATTTCGCGTGAAAGTTGGTAAATCTTAAATTCGTGGTTACGAAAAGCGATTTTGATTAAGAAATCGCGGTTACAAAACGCGATTTTATCCAAAAAAAAATTTTCTTGTAAACTCGTGGTTCTAAACCACGATTTTATAAAAAAAAAAAATTTCTTGAACTCGCTATTTCGATCCACGCTTTTTGACCAAAATCTTTTCTTCTGAACTCGTGGTTGCGAACCACGAGTTCATTCATAACACAAACCACACCACACCACACACTCACAGCCACAGCCACAGCCACCATACACTCTCTCTCCCTCTCTGACACATCACTCACACACACATCACACTTACATCAAAATAAATATAAATAAATTTTAAGAATTAAATAAATATAAATAAATAAATAAATATATTATTGGAAAAATATATTATTTTTTTTCAAATAAATTTTTTTCAATTGTTTTTTTAATTAATTTTTTTTCCAATTAATTTTTTTTCTAATTTAATTTAATTGGAAAAAAATTTAATTGAAAAAATATATTATTGGAAAAAAATTTAATTGGAAAAATATATTATTGGAAAAAAAATTAATTGGAAAAAAATTTAATTGGAAAAATATATTATTGGAAAAAAATTAATTGGAAAAAAAAATTGTTAGTAAAATTTTTAAATTTTTGTTTAAAAACTAACGTAAATTCATTTTTTGAATTTTCATTTTTTCCTCAAATTTATAAACTGAGAACTATTTATAAACCAAAAAAATTACCAAACAAATTTTTATGGCAGTTTTTTTAAATTTTTGTAAATATAAATTGAAAATTGAAAACTGAAAACAAAATGGTTACCAAACAGATCTCAG